CCAGACTGTGGCCAAAAGGGGTCTTGCACAGATTGGTGCAGTTAAGAAGCTTTATATCGGTCTTATGTGTAGTGAACACAGAATGGAGAGTGCAGCATCTGAAATTGTGCAGTGATCTTAGAGCGAGAAATAAAGAGCTGTTTGGTTGTTTCTTGTTTGTAAATGAGATAACTTTACTTGGTAATTTTCATTCACTTCCATTCCTGAAGATTTCATGTTGTTTCGGAAGAGGAATTACAAGGTCTTACCAAGTAGTTAAGAGTTCTATTAAAATTCATTGATATAATTTTCAAATCGTTCGTTGAAAAAGTGGAAAATTTTAGTTTATGTGACAAATGAAAATGGGATTAGCTTTTTCGCAGAGAATACAGAGAGCTTTAAATGACGAAGGGAAATTGGTCGGTTTGGGCTTCAAATTGCTGCAGTACTGCCGAATTCTTCTAATTCAATTTACCTTTTTTAAGTACTGAACCCTAAGTGAGCGCATAGTGCTATCAAAGTGGAGACAAGGCTAAAAACTTCAAATCAATAAGTTCTCTTGAACAGACGTTTTTAACGTTATGCAGATAGTAACACTAAACATCGTTATTATAAGCGTGATAGACAGTTACCGCTGGCTTAATTAATTTCGTTCTGAACTACCACTTTCGTGTCGGGATGTCGTCGACTTGTTGCTCTTCGTTTATTGATATAGTAAGTTTCAGTGTGCTTGATCTGGAGTTTTTGAGATTTTATTTTTATTATAGCTTACTTATTGCACAATATGTAGTGCAAAGTGAGAATATGAGATTTTCTTAATTTCAAAGTGAGAATATTTGAGCAGATTTGTAAAATTGTTTGGAAGGACAAATTTTGCATCTTCAGTCTTCGTCTAAACCTTTTTCAGATCATTCTTAAATAGTAGGTTTTATGCCTTCTTGTGGCGATATATAGGAAAGCGAGCAAACCGTTGATGCTGTAGCATGACCACTGTATGATCGTGCAGCAACTTGGAACCGTACTGTTTTTAGATTTACCCATTTTAGCATTCAAAAGATAAAACACTCAGACTGATGGTGGGTGGTGCAAAAAAAATTTTTAGCTGCTCTGTATTTATTGGGAATATTTGGTTTAGCATGTTATTTGGCAGGTGGGCTCGATAAAATAAGTGTTTTGTTGCTGTCTTGCTAGGCAGGTCTGTTTTTGCTGCGTTGGACCGGAACATCAGAATTGAATAATATAGCCTGATTTGACGGAGTAGTATTCAAGTGAAGAAGTACAGAAACATGATATGCATTAAATTACTATTTATGGCAAAAAAAGTAAACGTTTTTTAGTGGAAGCACGGAGAGCAGTTGTTGGATTTTTTGAATGAAATATTGGTTGTAGGATACCAGTTACATGCGAACATTTAACATTTTTTCGTGGTTTTTTAATAAAAGTAGAGAGAAAGTGAATCTGAAATAGGGGAATGTACTTTTTGGGACAAATTTTACGCATTCCACTTTGTATGAAACAGCTAAAATTACAGATCGTTAAAATAGATCATGCTTAACAGAAAAGTATGAATGTTTACCACCTTACCAAGATGACCGAATGAGTTTTCAAGGGACCAGAACAGTAGATTCAGCAGCTTTGTGAACTGAAAGCTGAAATTGATAATCCAAATAAATTTGTGAAAAACATGAGAAATAGTCAGATAAAAAATGAGTGGTTTTTTTAAAAAATGTGTCTTTTAAAAGCATAAATAAAATATGCTGTTCTTACTTTTTCCTGCTAAAATATCTTTTAAAAATTCTGGAAAATTTACCGGAGGTGAAGTTTAAAAAAAATGTATGGATAATTTTTTATTGTTTTAATAATATTTATCTAAGAGGATTACAAAAGAGGATTTGAAGGTCTGAAAAAACCAATAATTTTTTTGTTCACGTAAGTACTACTTTTTTGACTTACTTTTTAGTGGCAATTTGAAGATAATGGGTTTCAAGAAACAAAAACTTGTTCACACATAACAAGCAATTGGGAAGGGAAGAAAATTCATTAAAAATTTGTTTGGAAAACTAGTAAACTATTTGCTAAACTAAGGCTAACTACAGATAGTAAGCCTAGCAGATTAAAAGATTTATAAAATTAAATCTTGTCAGGCGGTAACAATTTCTTCTTGTCTCTTCTGTTACCATATTTTAGACCAGTTTGTGATGACTGCCAATTTTTGGCTCAAACTGTTCGGTTAATTTATTACAATAAAATAAATAACAGTGACATTAATGATATGGCTGTCAATGTGGTAATAGATCTGACATTCCACTAATATTGGCACCCACAAAATCTGTTCTATGAGGCATCACAAATACTTTAGCATGGTTTACACTGAATAAGTAACTAAAAATTCACTAGAAGAAAATCAGAGGTTTTCACTTGATAGCCTTTTTTAACTTTTTCACTGTTATTTTAGACAAGTGGCATCATATTTGCGTCGAGAAAAAAAAAGTTTATTTTACATCTCTGTGTAGGTCTCTAATTTAGTTCACTCGACTTTTCATAGATATCTTCAAGTTTTGAACGACACACTTCGTTTCTGCAACAGTCTCATCAACATCAGGGCAGGTCAGCGTGGGCTAACCACACAAATATTTTAATCTATGGCGATTGTTACCCTCTGCTGACAAAAACAATTTTAAGCGTTACTTGTCCCTAATTTTAGCCAACATTGGTTTCACCCACTCGAATCATTTTTAGAAACAATAAGCTTTTTATTTTTTGAATACAAATAGTTAAAAAAATTGTAAAGAGTACAAAAAATGTGACGAAAAAGAAGATTAGATAAAAAGAATAAATTTTTCTTGTTTTTGTGGCCATACTACAATAACTGCTTATTGTTGGATAAACTTTAACCGTTCTAAAAAAAGGACAACACCAATTGTAATAGTTGTTATGGATCTGTCTAATATAGTGGCATATATTTTTTAAAGCAAAATATTACAGTTTTTGAAATATGTATACGGTGCTCTTAATAAATCTACTATTGACAAAGCAACAGAATAAATAAAGTTTAAAGAGATATTCACTAAAGCAACTAAAAAATTACAAAGAAAAAATTATTTGAAAAAGCTTTTTTTCTTCATCGTTATTATTTTTAACACCTTTTCTGACAAAGTCTTTTTAATGATAACATAGAAACTTGACAACACTGTACCATTTATTTTGCAAACAAACAGAGAAGAACGGTAATTTTAACAGTACAACAGCAATGCAGATAAAAAAAACTGTTGATGGAAATTGGAAGGGAAAAGGGTGAAGGAAGGTATTACGGATATAGCGGGTTAGTTAGTTGTTGTTAATACCATTGTGGCCGTTGTTGCTAGACCGATCTGTATCGGTCTCGATACACTGGATAATTTATTGCTTGACAGCCGTTCCCAACTTACGCTTTAACATTATTACAAAGATTAGTGGCTTTTGTTGTTGCCTCTTTTGCTCTTTTCCCGTATTCATTGATGGGCAAAAAAAAAAAAAAAAAA